CCAAGTGCACAGCCCCATATGTACCTGGGCACCAGGAGTGATTTGCTCGGTGGCCAGAGGGTTGAAAAGGGCTGAGAGGCTCTTTGAGGACATTCCCCCAGGGTGGGGACTATGTTTTAAGTGACAGGTGCCCACAACAGGAGACTGGCATTTAGTTAGGGTGTGTTTGACGAAATGAACACTGTGGCACACACGGGCTGGTCATTGGAGTATGAAGATGAATTGGACCCATCCATCCAGGGGCCTCAGAACCTCTCTCTCTCTTTCTCTCTCTTTCTCTCCCCTTTCCTGGGGATTAAACTCAGGGACTTTGCACTGAGATACATCCTTTCTTATATTTTTTATTTTGAGAGAGGGTCTTGCTCAGTCACTAAATTGCCCACACTGACCTCAACTTTGCAACCCTGTGCTTCAGGCTCCTGGAGGGCCGGAGTTGCAGATGTGCACCTCCACTCCTGGCTGCAAGCTCCTCTTCTCAACCAAGTTGCTAAATACAGGAGGTGCCTGCTCTTATTGGCTCTGTTGTTGAAAATATTGAAGATATGCAGTGACAGGTGTCATGTGTCAGGACCAGAACAGCCTATGTGAACCCAGGCGAGGACAGAGAGAGGCAGGAGTAAGTAAGCAAAGGGGAAACCGAGCTCCCTGGGAGACTCCTGAAGGTCTGTGGGGCTGAAATGAAAGCTTACAGAGAAGGAGGCACGATTTCCCATGGCTGTGGCATGAATTACCTCCTGCACACACCCCCAAGAAGACGTATTGAAGTCTTCACCTCCAGTACCTCAGAACGTGACCTTATTTGGAAATAAGGACTGTACAGAGGTACTCAAATTAAAATAATGTCATTATGCTGGGCCTCACCCCATGTGACTTAAAAAAGCAGAGTTGAGGCCAGAGGTATGTACAGAGTAGGGCTAACGTCAGGACGCCCAGGGAGAAGACTGGAGTGACATATCTACCAACCAAGCCACCTAGGCCTGCCAGGCAACACCAGATGCCGGGAGGGGAGGATGGATCCTCCCCAGAGCTGTCAGAGCATGACAGGCTGACACCTTGATTTCAGACTTCTAGCCTCCAGGACTTCGAGACAATAAATTTCTGTTGTCTTAAGCCACCCAATTTGTGGTGCTTAGTTACGACTGCCCTAGGGAACGGATAGACTTGTGAAGGAGGGAGGCCTCGCTGACACTCGCTTCCAAAACTTAATTCAATGGAACCGAATTAGTGAAGCTTCCTTTTTAGCACAGGGATAGGTGCAAAACTGCACCAGGCACTGTGGTTGCAGGAGGAAAGTGGCCTCCTGTGACCTGAGGACAGCCGGGGTCGGTGTCCCCCAGCGGGTGACATGGGTTAGAGTCCTAGTGGGTGAGTAGACATTCACCGGGCAGGTAAAGGAGAAGCAATGCCAGGTCAAGGGAAGAGACCAGGCAAAGAGGGAGGGAATGGGCCGTGGGTGTGGTCAGAGGATGACTCGAGATTTCATAGGGCTGAGCGTGAGATGCCTTTGGGGGAACACAGGAGCAAACACTGCCGTGACAGCAGGCCCAGGTGACCCACGTTTGTAATGAAAGAGTTTGAATGGTGACCCTCAGACACTATGGAGTCACCAAAGGACTTGGGTGTCAGATTCTTTTAGTTCACCTGTCTTCTAGAATGCTAACGGTGACAAAGGGGAAATTGGGCTGGGAAGGATGGATTACGGTCATGAGACTGGTGTTTGCAGCAGACCAAGATGATAGTAATATCCTCATATTTGATTGGCATTTTATCATCTGTGTCTACATCTGCATCTTTCTGATAGCTTTGACTGAGACATTAGTGTTAATCATAATTATCCAGGTTTTAGAGCTGGGGAAGCCAAGGATGCTTACTGTCTAGACCAGTGACTGCGAACCTTTTAGAGCTTTCAGTGATACAAACAGCCCGCTGCGGCACCGTGCCAGAGGTTTGCCACCACTGTCCTAGACAGAAACAGACTCACTGTCTCAGTGACAGACAAAACGGAGAATGGTCAGGTGCAGACCAAGGTGCCTAGGAGCCGAGATTAAAGGGAATGAATGGTAATAAATGAGCACCATAATACACTTAATAACTCAATGTATTTTACAACTCCTAGCATTTATTCAGCACCTTCCTCCAAAAAACTGGCATCTCTACCTGGACACCTGGACACTCTCCACCAAGATTAAGGGACAGCTGTAAGACCCAAGGGAGATTATTTTGGTTTGTGGCACACAGGAGAAAACGGGGTTCTGAGGAGGCCAGGGATTTCTCTTCAAGCACAGAGCAGAGTGCATTGGGCCTGAGCAACCCTCATGCTGAGCCCTCTCCTGGGGCAGGCAGCCTGTCTGCCTCTTTGTCTTGATCAGACAACACAGTCACATGACCTCCTGGCACTGCCAAGCCCTTGCCTCAAATCCTGTCTTGGACCAGCCCAGGCATGGAGGAGGACTCGATTGCAACAAGGCCTGCTCCACACAGGAAGTCTATTCAAAAGCAGATAAATCTGGGACCAAGGGCCACAGTTGCTACTCACCAACTGTGTAATTTTATATCTCCGGGCCCCGGTTTCCCCAACCTCAAAATGAAGAAAATACTGCCTACTTCATGGTTGTGTAACAATGCATTCATTTTAAAAATGCTTATTGAGCATCTACTATGTGCCAGGCCTTGTTCCAAGTTCTTGAGGTGTGTCAGGAAACAAAACAAAGACCCTTGTCCTTGAGCTCTTACTCCCCACCCCAGTACTGGGAATTGAACTCACAACCTCACACTTGCCAGGCAGGCGCTGTGCCGCTGAGCTTAATCCCCAGCCCTGAGCTCTTACTTTTCCAGGAGGTGAGAGGCAGGAGGAGAGAGGGAGACTAGATGACATGAAACAACAAACCACATATTCTGCTGTGTTAGGACTCTGGGGGAGGAGAGGTAAGGCCTATCTGGCACACGGCACACCAAACAGCAAGCACACAGTAGGCCCTCCCAGAACTGGTGGCACTATTATGGTAAATAAGGGAAGAATGAAGAGCCTGAGGCACAATGACAGGCTATAAATTTTGATAAAAACGTGTCTATCTGTTCAACTTCAATGAGGAGTAAGCAGAAAAGTTGCCAGGGGAGGATAAGGGTAGAAGATTACAAAGTGAAAAAAGTAGGCCTGAAACGCCCTTCAAGTGCTGTGTAATCAGTTGCGTCTATTCTAATGACCACCAATTAAGCTGTCTCTTGCAGGCTCCAGGAGGAAAATCACTTGCCTGAACAGGTAGACTGCGAAGTGCACATTCTAAGACCTTCTGCCTTACACGAATTGCATTTATTTACCACGAACTCAGGAAGCAGTGCAGAAAGATTGGCCTACTTTCTTCTAACAGCCATCCTTCAACAAGTGACCATTTTAAAATACCCAGGTAGTTTTAACCATATCCTACTAAAAGGTGGGTGCTACGTCAGTGAGACTTCCTATTACATTGCATTCACGCTGCCGTCTTTAGTTGGCATGAAGGGGTTGTAGTCAGAAATTGGGCCGTTTATTTATTGCTTTGGCTAACAAATGTGTGCAGTTAATAACAAAATTGAAAGTTAAGAATTCTTCAGCATGAATCCGTTGCCATCTTGTATTATCATATTTCCAGTACCTGAGATGAACAATTCAAAGGAGGAGAATTGTTTAGGCTCGTGGTTTCAGAGGATTTGGTCCATGGTCCGGAGGCTCCATTGGTTTGGGGCTAGTGACAAAGCGGAGCATTATGGCAGTGGGTGTGTGGTGAAGCAAAGCTGCTTACCTCATTCTGGCTATCTGGAAAGCAAACAAAGAGGGGAAGGAGCCAGGAACAAAATGTCCCCTTCAAGGGCACACCCTCAGTGGCCTAATTCTTCCAACTAGATCTCACCTCCTGAAGGTCTGCCACCTCCCAAGAATACTACAGGCTGTTGATTAAGCCTTCTTCACATGGCCTTTTGGGGACATTTCAGATCCACAATATTTATGTGCAATGCCTGATTTCATTTTCTCAACACCCCTTAGGGGCAAATCTCTTTTAAATAAGGAAATTGAGGCTTCCAGGGATCAAATAACTTCACGTGGTCAAATAGGGAGAGAAAGATGGAATCCAGCTTTTAATCCATCCTGACTGGCTAAGAAGCACTCATACTTGACCACTGTTACAGACGTCAGACCTCATGCTAGCCAGAGTCAGGTATGTTTCTGGTCTTGGCAGAACTGGTTATTCAATTGGGGAGACACACAAGTAAATGAATAATTATAAGGTAATATGGGAAGTGCTAAAGTGGATGTAATTAGTATGTTCTGGGAAACCAAAGGGAAGAAAAGAACTGCCTGCTCAGATTGATCGAATTGGGGAAATTTTTTTCCAAATGTGATGTGTAAGGTGGGTGTTGATGGATGAGTAGGAGTTTATCTGGAAGCAAGAGCCAATCACGAATGAAAGAGCATATTGAGCAAGCTTTCTTGGGCTCTACAGCCCATGCTTTAAACACTATGTTGAACTACCTACATTCATCTCCAAATTAGACATTCACTGAATATTTTCTTCTACACTCAGATCTTTTGTGGAGGAAAAAAAATAGAAACTGACTTGAGTTAATATCAATAACCAACCCAGAGAATTAAGGCCATACAGATACATATTTTTCATGTAGCTTTTTGCAGTGAAGGCTTTGAAATGAGCCATGTATCTGACCAATGTCCCAGAAGACAAAGCAGCTCTAATGGGCAGGGGGCACAGTGCCCTGAGGATGTGACCCTTTGCCTGAGAAACTACTCACAAGGCGCTCCAACCCTAATGCTTCTCAGCAAGTACCTAGTAACCAAGTGCCTGGTAACCTTGGTACCCAGTACCTAGTACCTAGAGAACTAAACTTAGCAACAGGAAGCAAGGGTTTGTTTGTTTGTTTGTTTTGAGACAGGGTCTCCCCATATAGCCCAGACTGGCCTTGAACTGGTGATTCTTCTGCCTCAGCCTCCAGAGTGCTGGGGTTACAAACATGCACCACCATGCCCAGCAAGAAAGCAATTTTAAAAAGAACTCATGCAAAAATCTCAGAATAAGTGGTCACTGCGAACAAGGTGACATTCGCCTGGTTATTGGACTTGTATTGTCTATGTAAAAGGAAACATGATCGCCATGGGGACTCCTCAGCCTTGTCCTCTTCGGGCATGGCTCAGTATAGAAGAGTTTCTGGGTGCTCTAGAAAAATGAAAATGTTTGCATTTGCATCACAGAGAAGAGACTGGCTCAGCCATAGACGTTCCCGCAAGAGGACTGTGGTCAAAGCTAAGGCCCGCAGGTAAAGCTTGCAGCCACTGGGCCGGAGGTGTGGCAGCTGAACCGGGGGCACCCAACATCCGGCACAGTCCTGAGAACTCAGTCAGGACTCGGGGGTGTTTGCTGAATTACGTAGGTAAATACAATATCAAATATGAAATAACTAAAACGAATAAGGCCAATACATGAAATCAAGGCAACATTTTCATTTCCGCGTATGGGTTATTTCCGGTTATTTCCACAAGGAAATTTGGAACAAGGAGAACAACGTATGCTGCGGCCCTGGTGGGTGAGCTGAGACGCAGCGCGGCAACGCCTGTCCTCCGGAGTGGATGCAGGTGGAGAGGAGGAGATGGTCCCCAGGTGAGGCGGAGGACGGTGAGAGAGCCAGACTCGGGGTGCTGCATGGAGAGCGGGGCGCAGGGCTCCCCAGGGAGCAGACACCAGGAGAGCTGGCCAGAAAGCTGCGGGCATCTAGGAAGGTGGGCGGGGCGGGGGCCGGAAGGGGCAGGGGGACGGACTGGAGATCCCGCGGGGCAGGCGGGGTTTGGGGGAAACCATTACTGGTTTCTGGTATTTTCACTTGAGCAGCTGGCAGAGGACGGTGTGATATACTGCGATGGGGAGGGGCGGGAGAGGAGAATATCGGCAGCAGAGGTGAAGAGGGTGGTTTGGGACCTAGTGGGGTTTGGATGGCTTGAGTAAGTGGCATCCGGATGGAGCTTTCAGGTGCTGCACAGCGTGTAGAGCCCACGGTAATGATTTCAACTACAGATGCAAATCTAAAGAGGTGTGTGTGTGTGTGTGTGTGTATTATGCAAGCATAGATCATAGTGTCCCACCATATAGCATCCTGTTCTTTTGATTTCATTATTTCATGTATATTTTAGTCTGAAAATCTATATAGAATTACCCATTTTAAATGGCCACGTGGTATTCCACCCGTATGGGTATAGCATTATTTTTACATTTAAAATTATAAAATACTTGAAAAACAGAAAAGCCCTGAATGTGTAACAGGGAACCATATATCTATCAGCTAGATTTAATGAACGTGAATATTTTGGCATCTTAGTTCCAGAGCACTGTCTTCTGGATTAGATCATTCAGATACAGGTGAGGCCGTCCTCTCCCCTCCTTCATCTCTCTCTCCTTCTCCAGTGCTAGCTGTCCCGAAATTGATGCACATGGTTCCTGGCCGTCTTTTTGTGCTTTCTCACATGTGTTTCCTTCTTAAATGATACGTAAAGTAGTTGCACTTTAAAATTCCCATACATCACTTCCTACTGCTAAATATCCTTTCACAGCTTGCCGTTATCACTCAACATGCTGTTTATATGGTGGTTAGTGTCTTTCAGAGGTCTCAAACTGCTCATTGACCAGGTGGCCTCTAATGCTGGCCAGAGAAGCACTCCAGGTTTACTTCCTAAGCCTGACTCTGCAGTGCCAGTGTTGGATCTGACCCCGCGACACCGCAGCAGTGCACGCAGAGCAGGTGTTGTGGTAGGAGCAGGCTGGACACTGCTTTGTCATGTCAGGCTAGGTCGCAACAGGAGCCAGGAACACAGCCACCAAGGCAGAGGCCCAGCGAGCTCCCTGGCTGCCACTCCTGGGCTGGGGCTCACTGAGCTGCTGGTGAGCATTGGCTGCTCTTGGCCCTTTCCTGCCTTTGTTAATGAAAGTGGTCTCAGGCCGTCCAGCCAGTTCTCACATCAAACACTCACTGTACACCCACCGCACTGTCCCTGTCCTCCTCCTTGTTTCTCTTTTCTTCTTAATGTATACCCAGCACCTCCCAGCTTAAAAAAAAATCTGAATGCTTTCAGTCTCAAACAAAGCTTTATAGATTTGTTGGCAGGAAATCTAGAATGGAATTTGCCATTAAATTGTAGTAAAACAACTCTTCAAACAACATCTACTGAACCATCCAATACTTTTAAATGTCAATCCCCAACAAAAGCACGCATCGTCTCCCCACTCCCCGCTCCCCACCCTAAGTCCTGGTGACGCTAACCTTCTTAGAGTGGGAAGAATTTGCAAACATGTCACCCGCTTCACTTCATGAGTTGCATGCCGAACGGAACTTTCCCCGATCCATCACAGGTAAGGCCCCTGATAGCACATTTCAAAACAAGCACCTCCTTAATATTGCATGAGTTTTTCTCCTATTTGGGAGGGGGGAAATGGCAGCATCCTTTTTTTTTAATTGAAAAAGAAGTTGCCATGATGACAAAGCCAAGGGAAAGTGTAGTCTTGCTTCAACTTCTGAATATGATAGTTAAAATTTATTGAGAATTTACTATGTGCCAAGAACTGTTACACACACACACACACACACACACACACACAAACACACAGACACACACACAACCCTATGGGATAGGTGTTGCCAGTATCCCCACTTTCCAGGTAAGGAAACTGGCACATAATAAAGTGAGTGAACATGTTCAGGCCACAGGGCTTATAAGAGAGGGAAACAGGATTTAAGTCCATGAAGTTGAGCTGTGAAGCCCAGTTTCCAGAGTTACTTCCTGGTTTAATGATTTCTGGGAAGGCTTCTACATTTTCAGTGCATTGGGAAAGAGAACTCACCAGCAATGAATACCCACTAGCCGCCGAGTTAGTACACAGGCTCTCTTACATAAGGCTGGCAGTTTAAATTTTAACATTTATGAACACCAGGTGTTGTCATCCCGAGTTCAGACACGAGGAGATGGGGGTCCCCACGGGCTCCCTGTCTGAGCACAAGCAGTGAGATACAGAGTTGCTGATGGGAACCAGATCCAGTGGGCAGAGCTGGGCCAGCCTGACCTAGAGGAAGGACCAAGCATGAGGAAGGTCCTCAGTAATGCTTTAGATCGGATGGCTCTTTTTGATCTTTTCTTCCTTCTTTCTAGAACAAAGGAGAAAAATGTCTGACTTGCTTTATGACCCCAGTGTGAGGGCCTACACACAAATCAAAATGTCTTACTGCCAGAAGTCAGAAAATAAGTGACCAGATGGTGTGTCTGCAGCTGTGGATGGCTTTGTCTGTGACCACCGAGCCACTGGAAGGACTCATGGCCTGGGCACACACAGGGGACATTCAGTACACAAGGGTGCAGCTCACAACCCCACTCCCACTAGCCCCACCTTCCCTGCAGGGGGGCTTTGTACTTCTCCTACTTTGGAGTCTTCAGAATTTTCTCACAGATCCCCAGACACACACACTCAGAGGGCTCCCGTGAGTTATTCTGCATGGGAGCCAAAGTTATGTAAGGTTAACGATGAGACAGAGAAAGGCAGTGTGAAACTGAGTGGCTGGGTGTGACGCAACTGGTGTGGGAGTGCTGGCCGTTGGTGGCAGTTTGGCCGCAGCTCGGGAGGGAGTCCTGTCCCCCACTCTTGTTTTCCCAGACTCCAGGGCAGTTGTCAAGGGAACTTGTTCTGAGCTCCCCATCCTGTGTAAAGACCTTGGCCCCACTGAGAGCCATGGCGAACTCTCCTTGGGGCATCCCCAGGCAGTAGGTGGGGCAGCCAAGAGAGGCCGTGGCCCTGCAGCGCCAACTGTCAACTTTTGGACTGGATGTGTCACTTGTTTCAGTTTCCAAGGCTGGCACAGAATTCAGGAGAAGAAATGGGAAAGGAGGGGCGGGTGGAGGACAGAATTTGTTCCAGCTCCAGAACTAGCTAGGAATTGTTGCTAGAAGTGCAAACAGGAGTCTGTGCTATAAAGAGTGTCTGCACCGCTCTTTGGAAGTATGTGTAGCTATAATAAAAGCTCTCCACAAAAGCAGCAGCCCCCCGAATATCCTTTCTGCAGGCAACAGAGCTCTCAGCTATGTCCAACTCTTTACAACCCCAGGAAGGGCCCATGATGCCCGACATAGTGGCTGAATACACAACAGTCTTGGATTCATTCTTGCAGTAGCCCAGAGCCGCGTAAGGGCAAGGCATTGGGACAGAGTGTGAAAGATGAACCAGTCAACTTCTACAACAGTAATTTTGCCAAATACAGGTTTAAGACTCCCCATTTCCACATGGATGCGTGGTAAGAGTTTTTTATAAACACTTTTTTTTCATTAGCACACAGTTGTAGTAGGTACTGTTTACATTCCTTGTGTGGGGTCGGTACAGGTACATAACATCCTAATTCCTCCTTCATCCTCTTCTCTTCCTGCCCTTTGACTCCCTCCATCCTTTGATCCCCTCCCCTTAAGAAAGATCTATCTTCCTACTTCCTATTCTATGTCTTTTATTTTACTCTCTATATATAGTTTAGGTTTCTCATCAGAGAAACCATATGATATTTAAGCTTGTGTGTCTGATTTATTTTACTTGACATTATGGTCCCAAGGTACATCCATTTTTCTATAAATAACTCATGTATCTTTCTTTATGGCAGGATAGTACTTCATTGTATATAAATACCATATTTTCTTTATCCATAGATCTGTTGATGAACATTTAGGCTGCTTCCAAGTTTAGTGCTGTAGTCAGGGCTTGCAAGGGAAACAATTTAATGCAGGACATATAATTTATAGGATTATTTTATAATATTCACCCAAAGAGTCAAATGCAAAAAAGTGCAGGAGATCTATCCACACACTAGAGATCAAAGAATCCATCTGAGGGCCTGGATCCCAATTATACATTCCAGAACAGGAGAAATGACTAGAGGATGGATTCAAGGACTTTATGGGACTCACTGTGAGTCAGCCTTTTGCTAAAACTCCATTGATCACCTGATCTCCATAGGTCCCTACTCTTACTGGAGAGCCACTATGACATTTTGGATCCCCTGGAATCACTGTTAGTTCAAAACCAGTGTCCAATAGTCCCTGAAATGTCTGATCATTCCCCTCCCTCCAGTGTACAGTCACTGGGTAAAAAGGCCTCAGGTCCCAGGCTCCTCTGATGATGAGAATGGCCAAGTTCTTATTAGGTTTTTCTCCGGTACCAGGAACCGAACTCACGACATTGCGCTTGCCAGGTAGGCGCTTTGCCGCTGAGCTAAATCCCCAGCCCCCAAGTTCTTATTAGGAAAGCCAGCATGACAAGCTTCTCCAGGAGAATCAACAGCACAGCATCTTCCCCTTCAGTTCTCTTTTTTGTGCTGTTGGCAACAGTCCTCAGGTGGGCCTTGCACACCCAGCACCATACTGATTTAGTTCAGCGGGGTGTAACAAGTTGACCATTAGTTAACCTACCGCATTTAGCTATAATGAACTGTACTCCTATAAGCATATATCATTATAGCATGATGTCTTTAACTCTTTCACAAATTTACCTAGAAGAGGAATAGCTGGAAGACAGTTTTTTACATTAGATTTTATTATATGAATTTACTGGTATAGTGTGATATATTAATACATATCCAGTGT